GTAAGACGCCACTAATGTCATAGATCTTTAGCGGTACCCATCTATCCATGTCTATCTGGATTAGAAGTAAACTCGGCGCTCGAACTATCAACTCGGCCTCTGTAAAGTTAATGGGGTATAACTACAAAACTTAGTTTGGCATTGCCAGTACAAACCCTCCAGAAAACCGGTCACGTGGAGCACCTCAGGAAGAGGACCAATCTGCATTGCAGTAATAGGTGTTCTCAACAATTGCTCATTTGCAAAATTCCGCCCTTACCCTGACGGGTAATTAGGAAGCTTGAATGAACGCGATATGCCTGACTAGAAGGCGCAGAAATACGTGCAGCAACTGTAAATCGAGCGATTGTCGTGCAGAAATTACAGTCTGAACTGACGTGCTGCACGAAACGGCTCATTCTTCAGCTCCTCCATCAAGCTTGGAGACAGCCAGCGATTCAGGTTGCTGCTCTATAGAGGCCATACCATGGGGCGATAATCGCAGTATGATTCCCACAGTAGCTGAAAAACCTGCCACTACCTCTCAAAAACCATGGTTGGAATATACCTGATATATTGGGTCGTTTGCGTACCCGAATATACCTCACTAATCCAACCTATAGAGACCATATCAGATTTCATGCCCAATGTGACCCCTCGGATCGAGAAGGTAAGGTTCTTTCGATCCTTCTCGTATATTTCTTAATGACCAATTTAAAAGAACGCGGCTAGCCTCTTTGTCCAGTACAGACACACAGAGTGTTTGCATATCCAACGTCATTTGGCCTTACGATCTGCCCTACCATGGACGGCTTATATCGTATATATCCATCAAGATGTATTCTCAGCACTCTTAAGCCATTTTTATACCATAAGTTAACATGATCTCGACCCGAACCTTCGATCATAATTATTAATCGCGATATTTTAAGCCTCAGAGAGATGAGTGACGCGTCTCATCTTCAATGAGGAGCAGTCTATATAGCCTCAAACGCAGATCTCGACTACAAGGTGTACAAAGGAGTGCAACAAAGTGTAGAGGGGATACCACAGCTATTTGCATGAGGAAGGCTTAAGACTAAGTAGCTTCTTAGTTCATATAACCAATATGGACTTAACGAGTCGACCTATATAAATACTTGAGACTCAATAGGTCAAAAAGATCACATAGTTATCAGTCCTGATCTCAACGGTCTAAACTTAATCATCAAATAGGCAGCACAAGAAGCTCAAGAGTTGATGTCTTAATTTGGTCTACAAGGTCTTGTATATATACATACGTTTTGGCAAGGCATGTTGTATAGTTGAATCCATATGCAAGCTCACATTTATAGTATATTTTATTACAATGATATAATTTTGATTTAGACTTATATGTGAGCTTTACGTAGTTGATAATTGAACTTAATGTATATGTCAGGTGAGCGATACGCCTCCAACCCCAGAAAGCGTGCTTATTACGGCACTGATACACATAAGTGGTACAGTATAAGGTACATATAGACATACCGTTGTTTTTACCACCAAAAGCACAACCGATACGATGAAGTTGTCTTGGCGTTCAGCGGGCTTTACTCGTGCGTCTCATACCCCTGCTCGTCCACTTTGTTGCGCCGCGATAGTAGGCATTCAGTCCCATATTATACATCCATGGTTTATTTTCTTCGTATATTCTCCATCTTGTAGTACATTTCTGTATCCATCGGTGCAGAAAACTTACTTGTGGATTATTTTTGTGCCATTTTTTCTCCTTGTAATATATTATCACAGATCGATCGCAATTTTTACCGAAAATCCGTTGTAGCGCTTACCCCTGTTAAATGTGCGTACCTAATGTACACATACAGGTATCCCTCTGATATCATTTGTCCTCGATGAACACATTTATATAAGTTAGCAGAGATAACAAGTTATCGGATTATAGTGGCCTCATGAATATACTGTAGTAAAATCAATAATTAGAAAATTTCAATCGAATTTTTTTGCTGGGATTAGGTGATGATCTGTGTAAATGCATTATAGAATAAGATTATACTGTACGAGTATGTTTCAGTATAAACAAGTGTGTATTGATTGTGTGATGTTGAGATGTTGTACCGCTTCTATGCTTGTAGCTTAAACAGTCAGGCGTGGTAGCATCATATAGAATTTCACCGATCAGGGAACCGGTACGAGAAAAAGATGAAGTTAAGCTTTCAGGTCCTAATTTATAGGGTTCATCAGCACTGCATGCCGGCAGTGACGTCCCCTACTTATGGGACGATGACACCGTCAGAGATATAAGTAGGTTATCGCTGTTTTATCTGTTGGCTGGTTAAATGAATAATTAGAAGAGTGGAAGCACTTACCATAGGAAAAAATAATGCAAATTTATGATCATCACTCTTTAGTTTTCACATTCGCCGTTTTGTGTCTTTACCTTTTTTATATTGTTCACAACCTCTACCATAACCATCAATCTCTACGCCCAGCCAAACAACCCCCAAAACCAGCGACAAATGAACTATAAAGGACAGAGCCTAACAAATCAGGGCATTACCCTTCGTTTGTAACATATAATTCATGTCGTGCCTTATGGTAATGGACACATGGCCACCCTGGTCGTTTGCTGAGGCTACTTTCTTTGCGAGGTCAAGGTGTAAATTGTTAATGCTGACCGCTGATTGTACTCACACAGATGTTCCAGGCTCGCCTTACCAATGATCAACGACTGCAAATTGGCAAATACAAGAATGTTGACATAAGCATGAGCCAGAAGTCTTTGTTGGCCTGTGCGACAAAAGTGCTCAATCTCACCAAGGCCTTGTCACTCGTTTCTACAAGCAATTTCATCAAGAAACGTACTGATTTGGAGTCTATGGCCTCGAGCAGCCTTAACGCCAAGCGTCAGCGCCTTCTTCAGCACCCAATTGGGGAGGATGCCGTGATGTTGCGGGTGCTGCAGTGCCAGCATCGTGGAGTATCCTCACGGGGAATCTGATATGCGAAAACCTCGAAGATACGCCGTATCGCTTGGAATCCCGGATTACGACATCAAGTTCTCTCACGGATGGCTTCAAAAGTTCCAGCAACGATACAATCTCCGTGCAATCCGCATCCACGGGTAAAGCGGATCGTTTGATATGGATTCTTGAACGAGGCTCTACCCGAGCTGAAGACGTTTATTACCGAATGTCCCCCCCCGTGATGTGTACAAAATGTATGAGACTTGTAAGTCTGTGCCTTCTTTTGGTTAAAATGGTGTTACCTTGCTGGCATAGCTTTCAAAGGAACGTGTTACAGCATTGATTCGGATAGGATCTTTGACCAGGCAGAGATCGAAGGGCACAGAAAGGACAAGGTGAATACTCTATATTTATATTTCTACATCAAATACGAAATCGTCTGCTGACACAATTTATACAGACGCGCATCGCCGTATCTTTGACCGCAAATGCTGATGGGTCCAATAAGACCCAGCCATACTTCATCGGCCGGGCCAACAAACCGCGATATATCAACAAAAATACACGAAAACAGTTTGAGTTTTTACAGGCACAACGGAAAGGCATGGATGACCGGGCAGCCATTTTATAAATGGATTATCGATGTTGACAAATCTATGAAGGTATGTTCGCTCTCTTTTATTCCTACTAATTTTCACAGTTATCTTGCAAAGATCTGACAAGTGTTTTAGGATCAAGACAGGAATGTTCTCCGTTTAATAGGCAATGCTTTATCCCACGTTGTGGACGACCTGCAGCTGAACAGCGTCAAATTCAATCTTCTTCTGCCCAAAACGACTCCACATAGTCCAACCAATGGATGCCGGTATAACCGCCGCTTACAAAAGGCGTTATCGGCCCTACCATCTTCAGCACGCTCTGGATTGCGACGGACATGGCGACATTGGTGATATCTACAAAGTTGACCAGCTTTCAGCCATGCGCTGGTCTCTTTCTGTCTGGACAAGTATTTAGGCCAGCACGATCAATAACTGCTTCAACCACACCGGAATCTATGAATATACTGTCATGGTTTTCATGTCATGTGATGTATTCAAGATTATGGAGGGAGATAACTAGACGTAGGGGGAAGACATAGCTCTGATGAAGGACCTGGAAAACAAGCTCAAACAGCTGCCACTCCGCAATCTTATGGCTGTAGAGGATCTACTCAACTCCGCCGGAGAAGAAGAAGAGAGTTTTTAGCCAGAGCTCAGTGATCAAGATTCTCTAGACGCAGTGCAGGAGGCGGAGCAAAGAGCAGAGGAGATGACAGTTATAGACAGATTCACCAAGTCGGAGAAAGTCTCCATCTTCGGTAGTGCCTGTTGCTTGCTTGATCTGTCTTAAAAACCCCACCGTTCTGCGTTCAAGCTTCTCCGCAGCCTAAAGATGACATTCGCAGCGCCAACACCACACAAAGCACCATCGATGCATCGCTTGTACAGGTTACATCCTTAAATTTGGTAAAATTTCCCTCTTTGCACATATCTGGCATCTCGGCATTCGTGATAAGGTAGAAGGTAGCGACCATAGAACGACCTCGGTGGACGTCCACTCCTAGAAAATAGCAGATGTTATTAGTTACTGGGGGACAAGTTATCAGAGGGAGACCTGTCTCGGCAAAGAGTCAGCGGTTGAGTTGCTCACTCCAGCGAAACGGACCAAATTATGATATGCATTATATTTAGCAAAGGCGATCACATAAAGAGCACGCACACTGTCCTCGATTTCCCAAATGTCCTCAGCGACCAATTATGCTGCCCATCATTTAAAAACGTTGTAACCAATCAACCGGCATGAATACATCCACTAAATTATGGGTCAAAAACGCATTTCTTAACCAGCGCCGTATTTGCAGCCTCTCCTGCACGCAATTGATGCCCTCTTTTTCTCACATTTGCTCGCTAAGTGTATGTCTACATCATCCAGCGAGCCGCTTTTCAGCCAATGTCGTGGATCCGCTGCCGCGCCAGTCATTCGCGTCTCGCGGTCAAGAACTTGCCGCCCTCCGCCGCCTCCGCCGCCTCCGCCGCCATGTCCTCTTCTGCTGCCGCGGCGGCCCTCTTGGCCGACAAGCTGCAAAGCGCAGCGGCGCCTGCTGGCCACCAGATCATCCGCGAAGGTAACGGCGTGATGGTCTTCCCCGAGCAGAATCAGGTGTTCTACAACCCCGTTCAGGTCCTGAACCGCGACTTGAGCATTGCAGTGATCTCAGAGTTCGTCCGCTGTCGAGCACAAGAGCAACGGAACAAAGACGAGCGCAAGTCGTTGATGGCCGCCGACCCAACGGCGACGTTTGAGCCCAAGGTGTACTCGGACGAAGAGATTGAGACGTACTTGGCGGACACGGCCGAGACAAGAGGCATTCGCATCTTTGAGGCGCTGTCGGCTTCGGGCTTGCGGTCGATTCGCTACTTTCAGCAGATCCCGGGCGTGAAGTCGATCCTCGTGAACGATATGGACCCCGCTGCTGTGAAGGTCATCGAGCGCAACGTCACGCTAAATGAACTGCCTTTGGATCGAGTGATGCCAAATGAAGCAGATGCTACAGACGTCATGTACAACCACAGGAAGCCGGCCGACCAATTTGACGTTATTGATTTGGATCCGTACGGGTCTGCGTCCATCTTCTTGGACGCCGCTGTCCAGAGCGTCTCGAATGGAGGGCTGCTATGTGTCACGTGCACGGACATGCCAGTGCTTTCAGGCAAGCAGCCTGAGGTGTGTTTCTCGCGCTATGGAGCACTGCCGAACAAATCGCAGTACCTGCACGAGATGGCGCTTCGCATGGTGCTCCAGACGATCGAGTCGTCAGCAAATCGTTACGCGCGGCACATTGTGCCGATCGCGTCGTGCAGTATCGACTTTTATGTGCGCATCTTCGTTCGCGTGTACAAGTCGCCGGTGAATGTGAAAAAAGCAATGACGAAGCTGTCGCACGTCTTTCAATGTGTTCAGTGCGAGAGCTTCCACCTGCAGCCGCTTGGGGTGTCGAGTGGCAACAGCTACCACGCCTCGCGTGGCCCGATCGTGGGAAAGCAGTGTGATCAATGCGACGGCAAGTTCAAGGTGGCAGGACCGATTTGGTCGGCGCCGCTTCATAGTCGCGATATCGTGCTGAAGATCCGGGACCGCGTGGAGAAGAGCACATCAGAATTCCCGACAAAGTCTCGCTTGCACGGCCTGCTGACGACGCTGTCTGAGGAGCTCGTCGACGCCCCGCTCCACTATACTCTCCCGGGTCTGAGCAAGGTTTTGCACTGCTCTAACCCTCGAATGTCACAGATCCAGGGTGCCATTCGCCACGCTGGCTACAAATCCTCGCAGTTCCACAAAGTTCCCGAGGCCATCAAGACCAACGCGCCGAACGACGTCATATGGGACATTATGCGCTGCTGGGTCAAGAAACATCCAGTGAACAAGAAGCGAGACGGCCAGGATACTTCGGGCAGCCGGATCCTAGCTAAGGAGCCCAAGCTCGAAGCTAATTTCTCGTCCAAGCGCCTGGGGCCAAGCGAAAAGCCTAAGGCACTGCGTTTTCCATTGAATCCGGAGCCGAACTGGGGACCAAAGGCACGTGCTGTAGGCTACAAGGCGAACAGTGCAGTTGTTGCTGCGACTAACGGAGGTGAGTAGAGCGGCTTGGTGCGCATGATGTCTGTTATTGCAGCTCTTTTGCTAAGTGTGTGCATCTTCCTTTTATTTGCTACAGTCCAGGTACAGATCTCGGATGCGAAGAAGGTCAAAACGGAATAGGCAAAGCGAACGAGAAAGGGGCAGTCTGGCATCCCCGTTGTTTTCACGTAATAGAGTGCTTGCTTTGCCTTTCGACAGCATGCCTTGGGCATCTTTGTAATGGTCGACTTGTGCCAGGACATCACTTTGTCTCCGCCAATGCTGTCGGAACTTGATCGTCATCCCCGTGTGCAAAGACGTCGCTGCGTCCATGGGTCGAAGCACTTTCTTCATCTGGCTCTCGGGCAGGCATTTGCATTTGTTCCCGGGCCTACCTGTCTGAAATTTTATACCGTGACGAAGACCATGCTTGCTGCCTACGGCCAGACGTTCGAGACGCAAGTACAGAGAGTACTACTGGCACACCTCGCCTCCACGAACGCGTACGCATTGCACTTTGCTTCTCCTATCAACTCATAGCGCACGTTCGGTTGCTGCAGCTGAAGGCAATGGCTTTGAACGCGAGTATCAATTTCCGATACACACAGGTACGGTCATGTCTTTTGGATGGGAAGATGTGCGCGAGAAAGCGACGAAGTACAGCGCTCGTGCCGGACTGACGTCGATTTGCTTACGTGATGTGGTCAGTACTGCTTACCTGCCTGTTCAGTGTGCACACAATTGGGTCAGCGCTGACCCTGGCTTCTCACCCGTTAGGATCAAAGCCAAGGAGTCGAAGCTCGCTCGTCCGAAATTCGATCGCTGGATCGAACAAGATGCTGCTGGGATGCTGCGATAAGCTGCCGGTGCTTGAGCACGACCGTAGCACACGCCACGCAGAAAGCGTGTAGGAAAGAATGCAGAGGGAATGACAAATGGCAGTAAAGGACTGCCGCTTCGAGAAGAAAAGAGCGACACATGCAGCAGACGCGGTCATCTACCGACAAACCGTTCGGTAGTGTGTGAACTGCCATTCGATGATCACGTGGTGCACGGCGATTAATTTACAACGACCGATCGAGTTGGTGTTTATGTTGCCTTCGTAGTGCATATCGCCTAATGCCTGTGTTCATTCAGACTAACGATAGCACGCTAGGCGACACGTTTTACTCACCAACACGAACACAAACAGGCAGCAAAGATTGACAAGCGACAGCAGGTTGTAACTACGTCCAGGAGACTCGTTTGCGTCCGCAAGATAGGCACGTCATGGTCGTCCAATCGACTAAGCTATACGAGAAAATGGAGGGCGCGCAAGTAGCCTGATCCGTACCACGGCGAGTACACTCAAGACGAAGCGAGTAGTCCAACTTGTGAGACAGAAGCTCGTAGGTTTTTGCTAAGAAGTGGGAATTGCTACGAGTGCGACCGCCAGCATGAACATCCTGTGCAGTGAAGGCACGATACATGGGCTGCATGCCAAACGCAGTCAATAGAGGAGTGGACAGACAATTTTTAGAACACTGCGCATGTGCATTTGCAAATCGTTCCTTAAGATGTCCGTATTGTAATGTGCATGTGCGAAAGCTCGATGCAAAAATTGCATTCTCCAGTAAGTGGTACTGCCTGTTTACAGTAGCAGGTCTCCAATCAGATGACAACAAAACTCGAGTCTCTCATTGCATTCAGTCGAGATCATTTCGCTGTTTGACAGATTGACTTTTCCATAAAAAGGGTCGACGTGTGCGACATACCCGTTTCATGTAGCCACGTGCAGACGAGGAAGAAGGGGTGTTCTGTATCCAGACTCGATCAAGTAATCCAAAGCGTAATCATTCTGATCTTTTCGCGTCGATCCCATCGCTTCCGTCCGACGTTTTCTACCGAGCGCCAAGTTATTGCAACTACTCCAATGACAATGGCACATTTGTGCAGACTCTGATGACCAGAGCAGTTATGTGCACCACATCGATCCCCACCCGAACAGTCTCCAGTGTCATTCATATGCACCACTGAGACGTGCGTGAAAAAACTCCGATCGTCGACCATTACCGGAGACATTCGTACGTACCGCTGCGACTTTCGTACCCACGCGGTGAAACATTCCCATCGATTGTCTCAGGATTATAAGTTGTCAGATCTCGTGCACACGTCTCTACCCTACCCCCTTTTCAGCTATAACCGCTCCTTTGGCCAGAACGCAATCAGCGGCAGGTGGTCTCCCTCCTCTCCCTCCCTCTCTCTCTCTCTCTCTCTCTCTCTCTCTCCTCTGCTGCACACGCATTGACGTGTGCTGTCGTTGCGGGTCGGAGGCTCCGGGGCGCGTGTCATACCGTTGGAACTCCACTGGTCGCTCGAGACCGCGTTCACTTGGTTTGTCTATACCGCGCGTTCGTATCTAATGAAGCAATCATTTCAAGACAGCAGTACCGTCGCCGTCGCACCTACAGGCCCGTCTCCCGCGGCGATCAAGTCGGCAGATACTGGACCATCGTGTCGCAACGGACGGACCACCAGCAGCACGAGCATGGGCAACCGGAACCGCAGCGTGAGCATGGCCGTGCCGTCGAATGCACCTCCGAGCAAGAAACATCGGGCGTCGGACGACGAGCTCGAGCAAGCGACGCCTCCTTGTGCCTCAGCACCGTGTGCGTCGTTGTCGACCAATGAGACGGACGCAGCGGCTGCTGCGAGTGCTGGAGGTCGAGGGGATAAAGTGAGTGATGGGACGGACGTTCCGGACGTGGAAGAAGACGACCAAAATGGAGATGCTCAGTCATCGTTACTGACTTCGATGCTGTCGTTTGGACGCGACATGAATGGATCGGATGACGATAGTGACGTCAGTGAAGAGGCGTTCAGCAACTGGCTTGTCGAACAAAAAAGCGCCGGCATGCCTGCGTGTCAAATGCTTGATGCGCTCGGATTAGGCGTGTCGGAAGGCGTTGCTGTGGACGACGATGAACTGTGGCAAGTCTTGCTTTCCATGGGTATTCGACTCGTGAAGCCGTCACTTACGGTACGTTCGTTTTTCGCATGACGCTGCATCGGTTGATGCTTCCGAAGCTGTTTCCGACTCAAGGCAACTTGTGTGCGTTTGTTGCGCCGTGACTAGCGACCACGTGGTAAACTAGATACGGTCAACACACTGCAAGATGTGGCATCGCTGCTGCGATCGAGCAAGAAGATTGTGGTACTTGCAGGTGCAGGCATCTCTGTGTCTTGTGGCATTCCCGACTTTCGCTCCGAAAATGGCATTTACAGCGTACGTGGTTATGATTTGCTTTCTGACGTGATATGTGCCGTTTCTCACATTGTTTGCGTTCGTGTGGCAATGGCGTTTGTGTAGCGCCTTAGCGAGTACAACTTGCCAAACCCCCAGTGCATGTTTGGTACGGACGCTTCGCTCATGTTGTTTGTCCGTTGGGCATGACTCACGCATCCTTTTATCGCGTCGTGCAGACATTGAGTTTTTCCGGTCGAATCCTCGACCCTTCTTTGCATTTGCAAAAGAGTTGTTTCCCAAATCCAGCGGTTTTACGTTTGTGCCGTCTCGGAGTCACTACTTTTTGAAGCTACTGGAGGAGAAGGGTAAGCTGCTACGAATTTACAGTCAGGTGAGAAATAGGTCTGTACTTGCGCCCCATTGCTGAGGTTGGCATCGATCGACTGACCTGCATGGTTTTGCTATCTTGAGAATATTGACATGTTAGAGCAAGCAGCAGGCATTTCGCACGAACATGCTGTGCTTTGCCACGGCTCCTTTGCAACAGCCACGTGTCTGGCGTGTAAACAAGTGTATCCAAGCGAGGCGATTCGTGGTGAGGTGCTCAACCAACGAGTGCCGATGTGCAAGTCGTGTAATTCGCCGGGTGGAATTGTAAAGCCTGATATCGTGTTTTTTGGTGAATCGCTACCCCGGCGTTTTCATGACTCCATAAAGAGTGATGAAGGCGAGGCAGATCTCGTGCTTGTCATGGGTTCATCACTCAAGGTGAATCCCGTGCGCAGCATCGTAGGTCGGTTCAAAAAGGACACGCCCATGATCTTGATCAACAGAGAACCAGTGGGACGTCCGCACAAGTTTGACGTAGAGCTGCTAGGATATTCAGACGAGATTGTGCAGGAGCTGTGTCGATTGCTTGGATGGGACATACCAGAGCCTGACTTGGCACTTCTGGGTCAGTCCAATCTTGCTCCACCAGCAGTGGCACCTTCAAGTACTCTCGCACCCTTGTCGTTCGAGTTCGTCCATCCATCAAGATACTTGTTCAACGGTTCCAAGTCAACATATTGCAGTTCGAGCGACGGTGGTGGCAGCAGCTCCTCGAGTGAGGACGGGACAAGTGGAGGACAGGACATGAATTCTAGCGCAGATGACATGGCCGTAGCGATAGACGCTGGCGACGAGGAGAGAGCACCGTCCACCGATGACCTGGTCGAAGGCGACCAAGACGATTTGATGGGAAGTGGAAACGAGCTGTTGGGGTCTACGAGTTTTGACGACAACTGAGCGCTCGAACACCTTTCGCCGCCCGCCAACTCAGCCACATTGGGACGCAAGCGAAGTCGCTGGATGGCACTTGTACCAATCTCAGCCAAACACACATACTGTACAAATAATCGCATGCTGGAGTCCGCATCTCTTCGTCTTCGATAAGCCGAAACGTGCCGTTATAGACATACTCCAGAGCAATAAAGACCATGCGCAACCCTGTTGATGAGCATGTTTGCACATGCATCCGTTCGACAATGAGGATGCCCGTACCAGCACATAACGTCTGCCCCGGCGCGTACTTCGTTCACATGCGCCTATGCTCCAACTTGGACGAGCACGGGGCGAACCATTCGACCTCGCGGTGATCGAAGCATGGCTAGAGCACAGTGATCTTGCTTTCGATACCGCTGATCTTTCTTTGCTAGAAAGAGCTGCTGAAGCGGTTCACAAGCGACGAACCCGACTGCACGAAAAGCGCCCTTGGGTCGATCGTAGATTGCTGAAGTTACGAACCCAATGAGAGACCGCTGACAGTACGTTGACGTCACCACGTTGCCGTTAGTGTATCGCTGTCTTTTTACCACAAAGATTGCACCGAGGTGGCCTTACCTCATCTCTCTCGGCACTCTTGTCCCAGGTTTTGTTTTCCGAAACCCCTGTGTCGGCACCCTTCCAATTGATGTCATTCTCAAACCTGTCTACGTCCCCGGCTGTAGGTGCGAAAAGCTGATTACACAGGGGTAGACGAAAGCACGAACAGTACCTGTCAACACCGGCAAACATGACGCACGATAGTCTCTTCACGTACCATAGCGTTGACGTCGATATTGCCACGTCTCGGAACGATAACAACGACACGAACAAGAGTTGGCATCGCCACCGGCACAATTGCATTGACACCAGAAGTCGGTACTGGCATCCTATCATTGACTTCCGCGGTAGCGTTCCCTGACCGGTGAAAGCAAAATGGCTGCATGTACGTATCCCCGCGCACGACACAAGGTATCATCCTGTCCTCACCCTTTGCATCACCGTCGCGCTTATGCTCGTCGAAAAGTAGCTCCCATCGTGGTTCGAAAGAAGGCTTAGCACTATGCTTTCCATTGCTAAAGCGCTTCGCCTTTGGCTTCTTTGCCTGTTCAGTCTCTAGGTCGCGCGCACGAGCTTCCCAATAGAGCTGCCCAGCTTGTGTGTCTGGGTAATCACACGGAAAGCTGTCAAAGAACAGGAAGGTAACGGCGTCAGATGCTACCGCGCAAGTGTGCAAACAACCATGCTCATTTACCTTGGTTGGTGCAACACGGTACTCAGCGCGGCGTCTTCCTTAAGCCCAACGACCATGGCACCACCAAATACCAGCGTCTTCAGTATGCTGGGCACACTAGATGGTAGACAGATGATATCCCAACCACTTGTGTGAGGAAACGGCTCGCGCTTCTTGACCAGCAAGAGATTGAGCGCCTGGGACTGTACGTGCACTGCATCCGAAGTATGGCCAAGCTTGTTCCCTTTTCGATGACGGAATATCGTTTCATTAAGCTTGTGGTCTTTGCGGAAATTACTCTCAAGCTTTAGCCTCATAGACGACGACCACAGCAGCGAGTTGGGCGTCGGACCCTTATCCATTTCACTGGCGTCTCCCCCATCATCCGGCTTCTTTTGCTTATCACCATCGACCGCGCTCAGATGTCGCAATGGACCGGATTCCGTCACACGAGTTAAATCAGAGCTACATGTAGTCCAGCTCAGCAATGCCTGAAGTTCGTTCATAATCACTTCCGACTCGGGCTCCTCTGCGTTTTTACCGAGTGACGAGAGACTAGCCCCAGACAGCGGACTCGGAATAACGTCCTTGCCGAGATCTGGCACTGCATACGCAGGAGGCTCGTTCAGCAAAGATAAGCCCGTTTCTGCACCGGTCAACCGATGGCACGAAGCACTTGTGTTCCAACGTGCGACACGCGGATCCTCCACCGCAATGGCATAAACAGTGCACATCTGCTCATCGTCCTGCTTCTTCGTATTTTTCTTGCTAAGAGCGCGCAGCAACTTTCGTCGATTGCCACTACAACACTGAGCGACTGCCTCCTTTACATCAAATCCATCCTCATGGTCGGACACAGTTCCGTCCTGCGCATCCTGGGTGCTCAGACCATCGACTTTATCGACATTGCTTATCTTATCGCCAGCAGTGCTTGCAATGCTTGCCACAAGTTCGTTAGCAAGTCGTCCACGCAGCTTTAATCGGCACAATTGTCCTCTCCGATCCAGCATTTCAACGCCATCTTCATCGTTGCTGCAAACTTCCTGACAAGCTGATGCGATCGCCGTTGCTGCTTCCATATACGCTGCAGGATGCACCCATAGCCATAACTGCCTCTTGGCGCTTTGCCAGTCTTGGTGCAGCACGAACCGCCCACAACTGTAGTCTTTCTTCAACGGTCTCCACATAAACGTCACTGGTGCAATCGCACCTTGTGGAAATCGTCCCATGTGATGCAACATGCTGTGTCCTTCTTCGTCTCCAGCGAGAAACCGCAGTCCATGAAAGTCCGATCCATTCGGGTCCGAAATCAGCTGCAGCGCTGTCAAGAGCACTGACGGCACTCCATAGAGCTCAATAACTCCGTAATAACTAACATCGTGTAGCACGGCCTTGTTCCGGACAGCTTGCAATGCCGCAGACACGCTCTTGTCGGCTCGGTGGACGGCCAAAATGTAGCCATAACGTGCATCCATCGCCATGCGCTTGGCATGGTACAAGTGCGACGGAAGCCAGCGCGGCCGGCCTGTCTCTGACTCTTCCGATAGACACGACCGCTTTTGGATCAACGTATGGGGCCGACGGTTGTGCTTCCGGCAACGCAAGGAAGTAGACGTCTTTAGTGTGGACCGGAGGCGCTGGGGCATCTTGTGCGACTTGAAAGCGTTCGCTCGACGGCGCCGCTGGTTCTTCTGGGTCTCGACCTTCTTGTCCGCGTCATGGGCGAACGGTTCGTGCTGCGACAGCTCGTGCAGCGCTTGTAGCTCCGGCGCACGGGCGTTGGCAAACTCGAGCACCTGCAGCACGCGCGGACCCAGACCAGCCATTAAGAATGGGCCAATTGCGAGAAAAGAACCCAAAATTAATTACGTTTGGGTAGAGGTTGAAGGGCGGAGTAGAAACGGGGACAAAGTTTAGCCTTTCGAGTGTGCCAGACCATAGTGGATGAACACGGCGGTACTGTATGATGTGGTAACCTGTGGGATACGTCAGCGACTTTGCAGACAAAGAAACGAGATGGTCACATATGACGATCGCTGTTGTTGCGTACCACTAAGATTGTATGTGAGTGCAGGTATGCAAACGTTTGCTTTGTATTGACCGACACTCGATACGAGGGACGAAGGGAAGTGATCGGAAACGACATGCATTTTCAAAGCGCGAGTGTCGGCGGAAAAGAGATGGGCAGTGTCGACGCTACAGTGCGGCTTTTGCACAAATCGTCAACGTGTCTGAGCGATTATATGCACTTGGTTGTGAATCAAGACTTGAAAAAAAGTCACGCAAGAATACTCACGCACCGACGCACGTGAAACCCGCATCATGGATGTAGTTAAGATAGCGGGCCACTATCAGTCCACGTAGGGGAAAAGATGAGAAGATTTGGTCAGTATCAACTTGTGTTGTGGGGTCAAGACACCGTGGCCAAACGACTAAACATCAAAAAGATTGACGCTTGCATCATCGCTTCGGAAGCAAAAACCTGCTCGCAGAAAACGACTCAACTGCGGCACATTCGGAAACAAGCATTCGGGTATCGCGTAACTTGCTATCTTTGAAGTCCAAAACTGTTCGCGGATGCAATCATTGCAAAAACTACTTCTTGACGGTGAGTACGCGTGGAGTATTCGCGTTCCCAATTCAGCAAATGCACGAGGGAGACCCCCTATACGATATCAGTTGATTCAACAAAGCATGGCTTGGTCCAAACGACCTTACCATGAGCAATATGCAGATCAGAAGCAGCTGCTTGACGTCCAGAGGAGGAGTTGGCGATACTGTACCGTGATGCACGAAGCACAAACGTTGAATAGGAATTACGTGAACACGACGAAGACGGATCAACTGCCTGTACCAACAACACCTGCTGCAGCAACATCAGTGTACATGACAGCATACTTGTTACGGCCCAGCAGCCATTACCGATAAGTCATAGCCCCGAAGGGTGGCCATATGGGCGACCTCTGACCACTGACTATCTCTTCCCAATCTGCATCTACGCCCACAGTTCCTGGATGTAGCGGTGGTCATCCTGGAGCTTCTTAACCGTAGCTTGCGCTTCGTCTCGAGACTGGCCGCCATGTGTTTCGATAATATCGTGCAACACCTTGTTCACATCATTGCCCATGCTGGTCGCACCACACACGTATATGTGCGCGTCGTGATCGCGAATAAGACTCCAGGTGGAGTATCCATTCTGCGCTAACAAGTGTTGCACGTACACCTTGTTCTCTTGCTCACGCGAGAACGCTAAATGAAGCTCGCTGAGCACGCCACTTTTGACAAACCCGTCCAGCTCGTCCTTGTAAATGAAATCCTCGTCACGACGGCGGCACCCAAAGTACATGATCGACTTACCCACAGTTGCCCCTTCTTTGCGCTGTTTCGCACGCTCATGCAAGAACGCTCGCATAGGTGCAACACCGGTGCCCGGGCCTACGAGGATGATAGGTGTAAGTGGGTCCTGTGGCAGGCGAAAGGTCGAAGCGCGTATAAACATACGAACAGAAGGCCACTCGCGCAGCTTCTTGGTGCCTTGCTCGCCTGGTCGACTGTCACGCTTCTTCTTGTCATGCGCGTGGTCGACAAGAGGATGTAGTCTGCCCAAGTAGTTCGAGCACACTCCACGAAATACACGGCCGTCATTCTTCTTGCTTTCGATCAGACTGACGGTCGCGTGCACACGCTGTGGACTCACAAGACTAGACGACGAGATAGTGTAGTAGCGGGGTAACAAGAACGGCACGATGTGGAGCAGAGCTTGCATGGATACTTTCACCGAGCGAAAGTGCACGAGTACATCAACAAAAGAGCGTTCGTCCTCCACGATCCACTCTTGGTATTTCTCCTTGCCTTCCTTTGATGACAAAAGAACCAACTGAGCTCGTTCAGCTGGGTCACGTGCAAAAAAGGCCAGCTGCTTCAGCGGACCTTTGCGTGGCGCGCTGTTTATAGCCAGATAGCGAATCAAAATCTCACCGACAGTGCACGGCGATGGGAAGGGATACTCATCATGCTGACTCTCGCCCGTGAATTCCAACGACATCCACTGCTCCAAGTCATAGTCCATATGTGCTGCAAGCCGTTCGACCACATTCATTTCATTCTCAGGCAAAACCGCGAGATTATCTGCTGTCTGGTAGGTCACTCCAGTTCCGCGTAAGTCCAGCTCGACATGCACCGTCGAGCCTCCTCTCGTCGCTTGACGCAGTTCTCGGTTTACCACGACCTTCGTGCTCTTTGCAGTAAAAAAGTGCTTTGTTGAAGCCTTCATCTTGACCCCCTTTGCTTCAGTCGCCAACTTTTCCACTCCAGACGCACGAATCGTTACCAATTGATACTCGTACTCTGGAGCAGAAAGTATCGCTCTATATCCTGCTGTCTGCCCTTCATCACACAGCTCAACCGGTTCGTCTGCAATAAACTGCTTCCTCAGCGCCTTCCACAACGACTCTTTCCAGTCATCAAAGTCTTCGTCCAAACTCGCGTCATCGTCTCCTTCTCCGTAGTCGAACACTCGCTGAGCGCCATGCCGCTCCATCAACTTGTCCACAAGTCTCCCCATCTCGTTGTAATGTTCATACTGCGTGTTTCCCAAGCCAAAGACCGTGTAGCCTACGTGCTGAAATGCCTGCTGATCCAGCAGTTGCTCCTTATCTTTCAGGAAATTCATAAATGACACTGCATTGTCCGTTGGGTCGCCTTCTCCATATGTAGCCATAACGAAAATCACGAGCTTCTCGTTCTGGAGCTTCTCCGCGGCATTATAGTCCTCTAAATCGATCGCAACCGTGCGGAAACCAGCTTTTCGTCCTTCTTTCGTCAGCACTTCTGCAAACCCTTCCGCAGTTCCTGTCTGTGAGCCATAGAGAATCGTGACTGGCCACTTGAGGCTGTCGTCGTCGCTGCTCGGACGACGTGACGTGGCCAACACGCGGGCGTCGCTCTCGGCCGCCTCCTTGTACATCTTCATCTGCTGGCCAATGCGCAGCATCTCCTGCGCCAACTTGTCCTCATTGCGCTTGGGCTTCCGCAGAAAGAGCACGCTCGTGGCCAGCACCGCAAGTAGGGAGCCCACGACCACGTACGTGTCCATTGGACGTGGGGGGCTGTGATTGGCTGACTCGATGTTGTTGACCTGATTGCGAGATACTAGTGGCTGGCAATAATTGGGTACGGAAAGACGGGACAGGGACTGGTGGAGCGGTGAAGAGAGATCGACTAGTGAGAGGCCAAGAAAAACAAAATATTGAGTCGTAAGGTGAAGCGTCGAGTGTTGTTGACGCGAGATTTTATTCCAATTGAATTTCGACATATGGTACTGAGCAAGTAGTAGCAGCGTCGTGCAAAGCGCAACAGTGTGGTGCGTGAATCGTCGAGAAACACAAAGTAAACATTGTCAACTATCTATGAAAGA